CATGCAATCAGATCACATTGCAGATAAAAATATAAGTCAAATTCTTTGACTTCAAGTTCTTGCAGGTAAGTATAAAGTATGTTATCTTGATAAAGTGATTTACTATCATCAGCACACTGTCAAAGCAGGCATTATATATGTTCTTGCTTTCAGAGAGACTCACAAGAGTATTCATTTCTAGCTGTTTCTAAGGTTCTCATGAGATGAGTAGAGAAGTAAGTTCTTTATATAACCTGAACTGCACTATCTGCGAACTCTGATAAACAGTACAAGAATTCACTATCTTCTTTATAAGTTCTCATATCTTTAGTCAGAAGTATTTTCTTATAAGCAACTCATAAGTTCTAGTGTCTGTAAAATGACTCACTAGAGAAGAGTCATGATATCTTTTAATAAGTTCTACATATAGAAACTCATTCACAGGCATATAAATCCAGTTCTCTCTTTGTAAGAGATCATTTAAGTTTCTTTAATTCTTTATTTCTGCAGAGTTGATCTCTGCTGTGAGCAGTTTCTGAATATACTGAGTATATTCATTCTTCAGTTGCAGTTCAGACAATCTGAATAGAAGATCTTACAAAGACTTATACTCTGTTTCTTCTTACATCAGGTCTTTCACAGTGCTTCTCAAAATCTGCAAACTCTTCAGATTATAGATACTCTCTTCAAGAATTCTTGCAGAGATTCTCAGAGTGTTAACTCTCAGTGTTATAGAGAGTAGTTGTACAGACTTCTTCTCTCTCTTCTCCTTCTTCTCTCACAGAGAATTGAGAGACTCTTCAGTCAATCTCTTCATAACACTTAGTCTGAGCATCTTACAAAGCTTTTCTATCTTCTCTAGTCTCTCTGTGTCTGTCACTCTGACCTTCTTAACATAGTCTGGCCTGTAAGAGAGTTCATTCACTGAGTTCTTAGTTCTCTTGATATGTTCTATCTTGAATCAGAACTCACTCAGTCTCTGAGTTCAGTGAACCTGCTGCTGCAAGAGTTTCTTGATTGAAGTAAACTATTATAAGTTATCATGATCAGTTCTAACAGTAATCACTGTTATGAGATTCTCAAAGTAGTGACATCAGTGATGAAAGAATTTCACTATCATAAGAAGCTTCTGATTATAAATGTTATAGTTGATCTTCACAGGTTGCATCTTCTGTGAGAAAAAGATCACTGAAACTCAGTTCTCATTTAACTGTAGTTACAAGACTATTTCTGAAATTATAAAGAAGAAGACATCTATCTTCAATCTGATTAAGAGTAAGAGATCAAAGTAAAACAGTATTACTGTATCTGTGAATATCTGTTTCAATCTTGTAAAGACCTCATAAGCTTCTAAAATAAGAAAGTTCTTACAGTTCTTTCTTCTCAACAATCTTTTCATTCTCTGTTCATAGAATAACTTCTTCTTATTTTCATTCTTCAGCATGTCTGTAAGAGTCAAGAAGATTCTTACAAATACAAAGATAAATCATCTATAGAAATTCACAAAGCTCAGAAAGATCTGAATCTCATGAATACTAGTTGACTTCAGTCATGATAGAATAGTCTTAACTTATGAAGATTTCATCTGAATATCATCTGTGATGATTACATATTCTAGAAAATTAATTCAGCAGACACTGAAGTTGCACTTTATAAGCTTAATATACAGTTCTATCTCATCTAAGGCCTTCAACATGCTTTGCACATGCTCAGTGTGTTCTTTCTTCTTCATGAAGTACATCATCACATCATTCAGATATATTATTATGAAGACATTCAGATATGTATAAAGTATTTTATTAATGAAAGACTGAAATGCTGCAGAGACATTAGTCAGATTAAAAGACATTACTAGATATTCAAATAATTTCAGTGCAGTTCTAAAGACAGTCTTTCATTCATTCTCAGACTGTATTTACAGTCATACATATACATTAATCACATTCAGTTGTGTGAATATGACAGCTCTCATGAGACAGTTAATCACATTCTCAATCAGAGATAGAGAGTAGTGACTCTTTATTATCTTAAAGTTCAGATTATAGTAGTTTACACACAATCTGAGACCTTTATTCTTCTTCTTTATGAACATCACAGAGGCTCTCACAGAGACCTGTGAAGATTGAATAAAGTCATTCTTCAGATTCTTCTTCACATAGATTTACAAGACCTCTGTCTCATAATGAGAGAGCTTATAGATTGATTCTTAGAAGAGTTTCTACTCTTCTATTAAATCTATTATCAGATTCTTCTTATGATGAGAAGAAAGCTCAGCTGTCTTAACTGAGCTGAACATCTCTGTGAGATCTCAGTATTTCTCTGATATCTGAAGCTCAGTTTTCATGATCATGAGATTCTCAGACACTTACAAAGTCATCACATAGATAAGCTTATCTTCTCTAATCAACTCTGCAGCATCAACTGCTTCTATCTCTGTGAGTGAGTCTGTCAACACTGATCAGAAGTATAAACCTGACTTATAAACAGCTATGTGCAGATTGTGTCTTTGAAGTCATACAAGTCTCAAATACATGTTATCTATGATGTCTGTGATAATCACAGTTTCTGCAAATCTTCTTCAGATTTCAGAGAGATCTTGCAATTCAAAGATGATTCTCACAAGTCTCTCAGCTCTCAGATCTGAGTTCTCACACCCTGTTTATTACAAGAGCAGGTTCTCAGTCTTCATCTTTCAGTTCATTCACTCTGTGAGCTTTAGAGACATCACAGTGACCTGAGATTCTGAGTTTATCAATACTTTTCATACTTGCAGAGCAGTAGTATCATGATACAGTCTCTCTCTGTAAGCAAGTATTTTCATTGAGAGAGTAACAGATTCAGATGTCAGCTTCAAGACTTTTAAGAAGACTGTAGCTAACTCTGTCTGTGACTTCTCAAATTTCTATTTTAATTTATCTGAACAGTTTATGTGAAGATGTTCTAATTTAGAACAGATAAAGTAGAGTCTCTTTTTCTTAATCTCTCTATTGTACACTCTGTTTATAAGAGCTTGTGAAGCTCTTTCTCTCTGCTCAGTAGTCAGATGCAAACCTCTCTATATCTTATCATCTTTTTCTGACAAATCTGTTCTCTGTTGTTCTGGCTCTTACAGAGCCAGTTGATGATTCACTCTTCATGAGTCTGTAACTCTCACAGTGATTCATAAGTGATGAATGAGAGTCATCAGTTTCTTCAGAGCTAAGAACTTAGAGTCTTACTCAATGAGCTTATTCTACATATCTTTATTCAGCTTCTTCATGAATATCATCATTCAGATCTTATTTCAGAGTCCTGTTTTCACAGGTCTTAATTCATATCATAATTTCATGAAGTACTGTGAGTAGTCTTTATCAGATTTCTCACCTCTTTTTCTAATATTAATGATTGCAGCTCAGGTGTTCTCTGTCTGACTTGTGAAGTTTCTCAACTTATTCTCTAGATAGATCTTGAGAACAGATTATCAGAATCTCTCATAATCATTCTCTAGATAATTCAGTCAGTTCTTGACTTCAGTGTAATAGAGATCTGTCATTATATAGATAACAGCTTCTTCATCTTTCATATCACACAGTTGAGCTTGTAAGTCAATTTCAAATACAAACTTGTAAAAGCTTTTATAGATTGTGATTTGATAGATAATCTTAAGTGATCACAGCTTGAGAAAGTTTCTTTTCAGTTCATAAGTGTTTCTGAAGATCATGTCTAGAGACTCAGTTTAAGAATGTTTACAGACAGTAAGCATTTCTTATAGAAAAATAACTTGATCTCACAGAAGATGCTCAAGAATGTTCTTCACTAAGATTGATTCATTCATAAGTTCAGAGAGTTTCTCTGTCACAGATGCAGAGAATAATATTCTGTAAGTAATTAGTAAGTTCTCTGAGACTTCTTTTATAGAGATTATTCATGATTCAGATGACTGCTTCTGAGTATCTGTAGTAGAGTTCACAGAGATTGAAGCACATGAGTTTCTAGTTCTTTCAGTCATAATAAGTGATTGCTGACTGACTGAGCTTGAAATATAAGAATAAGTACTCACAGATGATTATTCAGGTGTTTGCAGCTTGACATGATATATACTGTTAACTACTAGAAGTGTTCACAGTAGAAAGATAAATGTAGAAATTAAATGTATAATAGTATTCAAGCTGAGTTGTGAATAGTATTCACAAACTCCAGTCTATATAGTTGTGTGTAGTCAAGGGCCGCTAGCCCTATTGATTACGCGAGAGATAGGAATAGAGGTAAAGAATCCGCGAGGAGCGGGATTTCTTACACTGTTCTTGAATTAAATCTAGTTATTTTTCATATCATTTCTCTCAGAAATGATTCATTTTCAGATTTTTTTAAGACTTGATTCTGATGAGACTCACATCAAGAAATGTATGAGATCAGATTAAATGAGATTAAATATGAAATTCATGATTTTACTGATCTAGACTGACTGTGTAACTGTGTCTGAGATCAGAACTAGATTTTTTAATAGTCTTATTATTAATTTAACTGATCTTATTACACAGTTTTAACATTAGATAGTAGTCTTATACTGTCTTAATAAGACTTACTATCTACTCTTATCATATTTTTTAAATGAGATTATGATTTTCACTTCTTAATTTAAATTATTTTTATTGCTTTAAATGACTTTAAATCTTATTTAAGTGTTATTAAAAAGTGTTACTTTTAAAAAAATTAAAAATAGTCTAAAAAAAACCTTAAAATGTCTAAAAATAGTAACTTTATGCCAAGAATGAAACTAAATGAGACTAAATGAGATCATTTTCTCATTTTTTTCAAGTCATGGTTTCATTTTAAGATCTGATATATAGTCACTTTACCTGTTTTTTTGATAGCCAGTCCCAGCGGGATTCACGCCAAGAAATGTATGAGACCAGACCAAATGAGACCAAACATGAAATTCATGGTCCCGGCGGCCAGTCTACGCCGGCCAGTCTACCTGTTACTCATTTATAAGTGAAGACTGTAAGCTGCATTCTCTCTCAGTAAAGCAGAGAGAAGTTTTAAAATCATATTTTAATAGAGTTGATCCAGACTCTCATCAGCGCCATCATAGATTAGATGCGACTCATATATTCTTTCAGCTTCCTGAAGTGTGCCTTGTAAACGATCGACTAAGTTGGTTAGAGGATGATTCTTGATATTGCGATCTTCTTGTGAAAGTCCCGCCATTTTGACAGTATAAAAGACTGTTGAGTTGGTGTGAGGTTAATCAGGAGTTGTAAGGGAAGAAAAGTTCAGTTTGATATGCTAATTGTATGTGATGAATGGGAAGCAAACACAGGAATGAAAATGCAGAATTGTTAGGAAGTTATGATGTATGATATTTTGATGCAGTGCGTGGACGGATATAGAAGGGTACATTGCACATGAAGAATTCAATCGCGACGGAGCGGACCCATACGTGTCGCCCAGCTGAAACGGCTATTCCCATTTAGGATTAAATATAGGCAATAAGAGGCTAGCAGGGTTTCCTAATTCGGCAGGTGATTTTCGTTTATGATTCCCAGAAAGTTATTTACATCCAACGGATGAGGTCGGGCAGGTTTTGTATAATGGAGCGCGAAAAGAAGACGCATCCTGTTTGTTTTGTCCTTCTGCATGGTCTTCAAGAAGTCAGATAAAGGAGAGCTGACCGATGAAACGGCTGAGGAACCTCCTGACATCTAGGGTTTAGAATGCCTTGCAATCTTTATAAGCACTAGCAGTTAGTTTGAATTAGCATCAACTTGCTCAAAGATGTCTGTTGTCCGGGCCATCCCTTCTAACAAAAGTACATTGAGGCCATGATCTAGGAAGAATTGAAGGGACAATCAGAAGCAGGACAGTACCCACCACATGAAAATTCACTCTTGTATCTGGGCAGGCCGTGGCGGGCGTTGATATGACGATGAACTTAAAACAGTGTTTAACAAGGAGGTACTGCTCTTATCAGTCCGAGTTATTGAACATTGCCAATTTCATATCCGGCGCCTAAAGATGCGGAAAGGAGCTCTGCTGCCATGCAGAAATCCGAAGTCCTGTCACCCAGAAGAGTACCGAGCGTCCCTTTGCTGGGTTATGGATGGAGATCTCGATGTCCCTACAGTCATCTGCTCCGTGAAAAAGTTCCAATGTCCTGCTAAATCCGTGTTCATCCAAGTTGCTAGAACAGGCTTACCGTAGATCTTGATCACTTAACGTCACCTGAAATGTAATTGTTAGAGAACCTTCCAGATGCTTCTGTGTGTGAGGCATAAGTATACTACTGCAGCTGACGAGACATTATTTTAGAGCAATGTGATAGACTTCATGGAGTACGATTTTAGAAACTGTAGATGTTCTTTTTAAGGGTCAAGCCTAGTCAAGTTGATCTATCCGTTAGAACATCATTATGGTCAAAACAGGGAATAGAAACTCAGGTGACCATTGCCCCTTTCGGCTATGACTTTTCGCGCTCGGAAGCCAGCAGACGCGCTGACGTTGCTACTAACCAGGATTGGCCATATGTGGCTGTAGTTAAAGCCAATCTTTGTCCAAAGCGAAATCACTGCCAAGATTTGGTTGCTCCTCTCAATGTTGTCTTTCCTTTCCACCTGGGTTTCCGCGTAGTCAGGCCGCATCAGTTAGAAAAGTAAATATATTCTTCAATGGTAGGCAAAATACAAAACTAAAGTATAAAGCAACGATGTGGCTAATCCATTTGGGAAGAGAATCATGCCACTTGTCTGGCTAAGAATGAGCACAATTTGTGAGATCATTGGTCATATCGAGATCACATGGCATATTTTATTGCCGGCTCGGCTCACCGCCTTGAATTCGCGGGGCTGAGAGTTGTGATTGACAATCTTCAATACTCAGATCGGTTCTATATTTTGGGGGACAGAAGACATATTTATAATATTATGTAAGTGCCCAAGGGCTTTTGCTATATCTTGGACAAAGCTAACATGATAATCAGTCGCTGAAAATGGCTCAAACAGACCACCTTAAGAAAAAACGACCTTCCGAGTCCGCGAAAAAAGAACTGGAATTAGTGGCGGAATGGATAGGCGGAAATGATATTCGATGGGAACACCTAGGAGGAGCGTTATACGAGTGTATCGATGCGATGTTGGATGACAAACTGAGTCGATATGTTGAAAAATTGGTGCGTTTGACTGCTTGATATGGCGATTCGTAGCTCACAGGATTGCGTTAAAAGGAAGAACCCGAAACTCGGCAGCGTGTTTTTCGAGTACCTGGATCCAAATATGCCCGTATACTCGCGTCTGGCGGAGTGGCTCATATACACCCTATCCGTGTACATGGGGAAGCTGCAACAGTTGACTCAATCCCCGTTCAAGTCGGAGAGTATATCACAATAAGAAAGGAAGTACGTGTTGAACTTGCGACGGATTTCTTGGTTATATCAAAGGGCAAGCCAAAGCAGGAAAGTGGCCACGATTCCGGGGATCAGGAATAGCCTGTTATCTCTGGGAAAGATATTCCGGCAAATTTTGCCCATCAACATCAAAGGGCGGCAGCACCCATTCATCACTATCAACATCAAACGGCGGCAGCACCCATTCATCACTATCAACATCATAATAGGTTGGCAGCGGATCCCCATTATTGATATCTAAGGACGGCAGTGAATGTGTATCATCGACGTCCGCCGCTGGAAGGGCTTCAATTTGTGGTAGGCACTGGTCCACCCCATCTGGCTGGAAAGTCTCTGTTCCATTCATTTCTTGTCTGGCTGTAACTAGAGTCAAATTAGTCAACAATCTTAACACTTATTTATCATCCGTACCTTTGTTTTGTTCAATTTCCCCAAAACTTGTTACACTAGACAGCAGGCTAAAATCGAGTTGTGACGTCCTTACCTCCTCGATGTTGAACGGTAGTGGATATGAAATATCGCCGTCAGCGCGATTCTGCGCAATATCTTGGTGGCCATCAGCCACTACGTTGGAACCTATCAATCCAATTAGCCGCGAGCAAATGGTGGAGACAGACACGTGCAAGCCTCAATGTCGAAGCAATGATTGCAGCGTACCATTATGTGCGTTTTCAGCTGCGATCGGTAAAGCCTCTGTGATAGTTCTCGAATCCGCCATACGATTGGGTGATGGAACAGGCGAGGACGTAAAGCCAGCACCAGCAGGAGGTGGAGGAGGGGATCGGTGCATTGTATCAATATTCTGTTGTTTTGCGCTGTCGTGAGTCGAAGCTACCGAAGTTGCTGCTGCCACAAGAACTTGCATTGACATGTGGTACACGAAGGCATCAGCTCGAGAACTCCCATCACTGGGTACATTTTGGCACTCATTAGTCGCGTGGGATTGATGTTCCTTGGAAATCTTTGCTTGCAAGCCGGGGCATGGCCGTTTTGCACTGGATGTGCGATCGAGACGGCGTCGTTTTAGTCCACTCATTTCATCATCTCGTAAAACAATCTTTCCTGCCGTAAGGTCTTCTTTGTTCAAGTAGCGAAACAACGCGCTCATGAGTCTTCCCCGGCCCCGCGAAAGCTCCTCATAGGACCATCCAATTTTCAGAAGGCCGTCGATTATAAGTTTCGCGCCTTCAAGGTCACGGTTTTGGAAGCTCCTCTTCAGAAAGGGAAACATTTTATCTCGAAAATCAACTATGCATTTAGGGTCGCCCGCTTTCAGAGATCTCTCCCACCTACCTAACTAATTAGCGAATGTATACATGGTTACCAGCATGAACTCACGTTGTTGCCGTGCCATTCAGAAATAGCACATTGCCCGGGCCGGCAATTTCGAGTAGTTTAAGATAATGACGACTTCGACCTAGGTCAAATTTGACGGTGTCGATGCTCCTTTTCACTCCGTGCGCATATTGACGTAGGGCGATAGTTGCTTTCCCTATACCTTGTTCTAATTCAAAATCTTCAACTTGAAACTGTCTCTCCTCAATAAGATGATGCCTATAAAGAAGGATGAGACGCCTCGCAGCAGTATTTGTAGCCTCGCGTTGCTCAATTCTTTCCGCACCCTCTTCAAGCCGACAATTTGGTTCGGTGTTAGGTTTATCCGGGAAGATTTCATCATTGCTTCCCCAGAAACAGTCAGTAAAGCTTGTATCGTGTACAGGCTCGAGTTTAACAAATTGTGTTGAGGCATCAACGAGAAGGTTAAGGTGATTTTTATTCTTAATTCCCTTCTCCTTTGTGAAATATTCACGGGCAATATGTTCCAGCTCATTTCGGGAAAGTCGTCGAAAGGTCTCTGAGCTGAAAGGAGGCTGTGGTTTAGGCAAGGAAGATTGGGGTGAAGAACGCGAAGGGCCCTGTAGAGAAGACCGCGGCGGAAGAAGCGAAGGAATTCCTGGAGAAAGCGGAGGCTGCAGAGAAGGAAGCAGACAAGCTAGTCGAGAAGGCTGTGAGGTAGGAAGAGACTGACACACTTCAGTCAGGTGCTGGAGCAGTTTCAAAGAATCGTTTAACGGCCCCTGAACAAAGAAGGCTTCGAAGAGCTGCAATAATGGCTATTCTCTATTAGCTTATTCCTAAGGAATAGTTTACTTATTATTACCTCTGATTGCAGAATATCTGAAGGATTCATAAGACACACAGCATGATCAAGCGAAGGCAATGACTAGGAGTATGCAAAGTGCTGCCAGGGATGCCAGACCGTGTCGAGGGCACGAAGGCGAGTGTGATATACATGCCCAGCTTGAGTCTGTGCCATTCCCATGCAAGAGGATCACTATCTTGATACTAATTGAGGTCAAACTTTGCGCCTCACTGGCTTTGGCTATAAGAGATGCTTCACCGCTCGCTCGTTGCCTTGTTCGAATACAGGCTGCTCATCCACGTTGGTTCGCACTCGGATTATTGCCTTGCATGCAAGGAGAAAACTTGCTCCCATCATTGCATGCGAAGTTCTTACTATTATCATTCAGGGTTGGAATACTTCAGATTGCCATTTAGGCTAGCTCACCTATCCTTACCCTGTCGCCTACATCCACCAAGAAAATCGTCCTGCTCTAGTCATGGGTTGTTTCCCTTTCGTTCTAAGCCTTGATGGGGCCATAGCGATGATAAAGAACGGAGTGTGTTTTGGCACCAGGGCCACATCCATGACCGGAGAAAGCTATACACAGGCCGACGAGGTTCGACGATAACTCACCCTGAATCAGTTTCTGCTGTGATGATCTAACAGTAATTTCCAGAAAATTAAGGCGGTGATCTCAATTTACTATCCAAACTTGCCGACCTTGAAAGAGGGGACATTTACTGTAATATGTGAGGGACGCGAGGGAAGGCCTTCTCGGCAGGAACTGCCATACAATGAATTGATTGCTCATAGGGATGGGATTACTGCTCTTCGATTGTACAAGCCAGATTGCACTGATGTTTTTTAGTAAGTAAACACAGTATTAGCCCTTCCTCCACATTCTTGTCTAATGCAATCGTAGAGTACCCGCTTTTGATGCCTTGTGATAGGATTTTGAATCGACATGTGGAGGATACACTGTGATTCGTGTCAGTGTTGTATATAATTTCTCCCTTCTCTTTTACAGTCTTCCATCTCTCAGTGTGCTTTTATTTGACTTTTTTGTTTCTCTACGACCCTGGCCAACCTGTCATTGCTTCCATACTTTTCAAAGATATCATGGACCAGGCATCAAGCCTCGTTGGTTCTCTTTTGAATATCATATTCCCTGGTTCCATATTTGTTGATATGTTCCGCAAAGCTCCCAACCTGGGCCTTCTGTCCCATATCCTGATTGTCGGATGTGCCTTTGTTTATGTCTGTATCTGGGTTTATGATGGAATCTGGACATTCTGTGCTGTGGAGGTTGAGATTGAACCGCGCAGCGAGGAGCATGAACATCTAACCACCTTTCTGGAATCTTCGGTTACCGGATGTCTGTCTCGGAGGGTTAGAAGTGAGCAATGGAGTGGAGAGCACGCGCCTGTGAAGACAGGTGTGTGGGACTGGAAAATCATTGGAACATTTCGGGAATATCGATTTCGACCCAACAGAATTTGTCTATTCCTATTCGAGGGCTCAGTGTTTCAGTTTCGGCGGATGGAAAGAAGCTTTGAGCTCTACTTCAAGGAGCGCTATAGTCTGAGAGTGTTAGGCTGGTCCTGCAAGCCAATTGAAGAACTGCTTGTGGAAGCCAGGTCACGTCACATATTCAAGACCAAATCCAAAATTACAATTTTCAGTCCAGGAGGCAGGCTTGTTCGTCAGTCTAGGATTCCATGGCAGTCTGTGAGAAAAATAAGTCGTCGGTCGCTCAAAAGTATCGCCCTGGAAAAGGAACAGAAGGAAGATGTTTGCGATGACATGCGCAGATTTCTCGAAACTAAGTCAGCATATCAGAAAATCGAAAGACCATACTGTCGTGGTTATCTATTCAATGGCCCCCCTGGAACTGGCAAAACCAGTCTTGCGCAAGCTTTGGCGGGTAAATTTGGTCTGGATATTTACTTGTTGAGCTTGACAGGTCAAAACATGACCGATGATGAACTCCAGTGGCTTTGTAGCCAGCTACCAGACTACCCTTGTGTTCTTCTCATCGAGGATATTGACAGTGCTGGAATCAACCGCGAGAAAACACAAGCCATACAACGAGAGGACGGCACTAGGCAAAACAACCAGATATCACTCTCCGGGCTCTTGAACGCGATCGATGGTGTCTTATCATCTGATGGGAGAGTCTTGATCATGACCACAAACTGCAGGGATCAACTTGATGCAGCACTTATCCGTCCAGCGCGTGTGGACAAGGAAGTGGAATTTACACTGGCATCAGAGAAGCAAATAGAATCGATTTTCCTACATTTGTACAACGAAAACCACATCAACCTTGTAGATATGGCTACTAAGTTCGCCAAGCTAGTTCCCGATTGCCAGTATAGCCCGGCGGACATCCAGAACTATCTTTTGAATAAGAACCCGAAGAGTGCAGTTACAGGAGCTCAAGAGCAATTCCCAACCAGAGAGTGAGCCTCATGATTGGATTACACTATTTTGTACTTTCTGTCTGTTGTTTGTTTGTAATTGTCTTTCTCCCCTCTCTCTTGTTTGTCAATCTTGTGGATCCACTACTGTTCCTCGCAAAAATATAGCACGGCGCCCTATTCACTTGGTAGAGGCAGCCATTACAATAGATTGCATATACTTCGCACCCATTCTTTTCTAACTGGTTGGATTATTAGCATTACCAGCGAGATATGTGGCCAAATTTGAGTTAATAGAGGCGCTAAAGAAGCCTAGCCTCGCTGTTGCTGTCGCTATCCATAAACAAACACGATGTCTATAGTCCCAGGTCCTCAAAGTGTGGTATACATATAGAAGGAACCCGGCCCTCGCTTGTCGATCTTTCAACGCGATCCCCAGATGGTCTAGGGGTTTCCAGTATCTTTAAGGATCAGATCTATCTGGTAGGTCAGGCAATGATAATAAAACAGTCAATTGTCCCAGTCTTCTCTATTCTCTCTACCAACTCTCTACAGTTCCTCGTGCACCTTTCTAAGAAGATGTCGGGTTAGTTCATCTATGGCTTTCGTTCATTGATGGAGTATGCTAACTTTTCTTATCAGACCAATGCTCACTGAAACCGGAGCCGCCGGAGAACCCAAAAAAGCGGAAAAGTACGGATAATCTTCATAGCCAGGTGAAAAAAGCTCCGCCAATAGGCACGTCCCTGCTCAATCCTGTCCAAGCAACACCGAGTCGGGATAAATCAGCCCCTGAGGATGTCATCAGCGTCGAAAATAAGGCCCAAATGGGATCGAGCGGAGGGAGTATATTTAAGTCTCCGTGGGCCAGAGCTGCAGCCATCGCAGCAGTGAAATCTATTTTATGTTGTTGGGTTCCGGACGGAAGCTTGATACCCGAGGAGGATATAGGCGGTTGGTGTGATGGGTTCTCAACTGCTGAAATAACAGGGCTTTCTGTTCTGAGATGGCAATTTGGCTTTGATAAAGCTGGGCAGGATGATTTCCGCTCATTTATGTCTTCCTTTCCAGATGATGGTGTTGAATGGCTTAGAGATGTTGGGAGAGAGAACGAATGTCGGCAGGACTGGAGTTTCGAGACATTCGAGGAATTTGAAAAGATGCTACGCGAGGCGAAGGTATGTATAAGCTGAGTGAAAGATGAATAATGGACTAATTAAAGATAAGGTAAATATCAAGCAGCTGGCTTTTCAGCATCCTGGTTTTGCAGCTGCTTTTGCGGAAATAGCTGCTGAAAGTCACAAAAATACGAAAGTGGTGGACTCGGCTTTACAATTAGACTGATGAAAGCTGCGAAAATCACCAGAGCAACTGAGCGCGCTAGGAAAGCAACACCTCAGAACAGCGCTCCACCGTGCAATGCAACTCTGCAAACGAGCCACCCGTCGTCCAAACCTTGTTTAGTATGTGTTGGCCGTTAACGTGACTCACCACCCAACGAACTTATTATTATTATTATTCTTCAATTATAGATGTATGCAGTCAGAGACTATGACATTTACCTGAGAACTTTTAGTTCTCAGGGTTTTTCCTATATCTATAAAGTCAACTATTATACATTTATCAATTTCAGATATATAAAATCAGAAAATTCCAGCTCAGAATACAAAAACTGTTTATAAATTACAGTATTTCAACATCTTCTAATACTGTGAAATTATTTAAAAATATCATGACAAAGAAAAAGAGAACATAGTCTTAAAAATAGATATATTAAATAGATAGATAGAAAGAAACAGAAAAGAAAGAGTATAGTAAAAAGAGATTATAATAAAATAAAATTATTAAAAAATAGTATATAGCTGTTTTAACAGACTATATCTAATTAATTTTCATCTCTTTATATTCAGATACTTCTGAATTCAGTTATTTTCTTATAACTGCTTAAGTTTCTGATAGAAAGTCTATTAAGTATTTAATTTCTATTTCAGTTAAGAATAAGAATTTTATATTTAATTAATTTAAATTATACTTCTTCTTTAATCTGACTCTGAGACTATTGTATAATATACAATATATTATAATATACTCAGAATTTTTATTTATATTTATGATAAGCTGTGTCTGATCAATTATATAGACTATTTTATTACACTTTATAGATTCTTTCATTTCTGATTACTGATTCTCAGCTGCTATAAACACATGTAATATACACTCTGATTCTCAGTCATTTCTGATCACTGATTCTCAGCTGCTATAAACATGTATATATTCTTCTACTCTGAAGCTTCACTGTGTATATCATTACATACATGTATAAATATTTATCTTGATCACTGATTCTCACACTTTCTCTTTCTTTTCTTCTCTAATATTTTTATCTTTGTTAAATAAGATCTATCAATATAATACTGATCTATTCAGTGTAGACCTCTTATATTATAAAAACATTTATCATCTTCTCATCAGAAATGATTATTTATTGAGAAATATCTGAATATGTAATAATATGTAAGAAAGAGAAACACAGTTAAGTAGACACTGAGTTCTCAGATAGAAGCTTACTTGTCAGTTACTCTGACTCTGCAATAAGATTTTACAAGAGAATATCAGTAAAAGATCTGAGAGTTCTAACATTCAGATGTATAAGATATTCATACAATTACATATTTAATAATTGATATAATCATGTTTAATGATAATATGAAACTCTCAAATGTAAGTATAGATGTGATACCACAGTGACTCTGAGTAATGTTGAAATTATAATAATAACAAATAGCTGATATGCATGCAACTCAATAACTTTAATATGAAGAGATTCAATAATTAACTCATGCAATTTCAACATCTACAGAATTGAATATAAAAGCACTGAAGAAACACTTAGATGCTTCTACATATTTTAATACTTTCAATCTCACTCTCTACTCATTATAAAGAATGAAAATGCTTGTGAAACTGAGTGTAGATGAAGATTTCATCAGTTTATTAACTAATCAAGATTAATATATCAATGAACAATTAAAAAATTGAATGAAACAGAAGTTTCATTCATGAATAAAAGTATATAAACCAGTGTTGTGAATATCTGATAATATTATTAAACATCTTGATATTCTGTTCTGAGATACTATTATGTAACAGAAAGTATTAGATTGATTACAGAGTATCTGACAGAGAAATATTTCTCTTACAACATTCATTTCTGACTTTGATATCAAGATCTTAGAAGCAGATAATCAATCTTGAAAGAATTGAATAAAGATTAACATGCTTAAGAAGACATTAACTTTCAAACTCTTACACAAACTCTTTAAGTGTAAACAAAGACTTAACTTATAAAGACTTCTACACACAGCTCTGAACATTGAATAACTGTCTTATCAAGCTCAAGAGTATACAGAACAGTGATAGAAGATGTTACATCTCAGTCACTTATATATCTGCACTAAAGAATAACAATGATACAGATGTCATGAACTGAATAGATTCAAATATCTATACATAAGCAAGAGTTTTCATCATTCAAACAGGCATCTGAGTTTCTGAGATCACTTCTGAAGAAGTCACTGATCAATATCAATATGAAGTATACATCAATTGTAAGTAATTAAAACACATTGCTTTCAACTGCTGATTAATCTATGTGTAGACTGACCGTGTGACCGTGTCTGAGACCAGGACCAGATTTTTTGATAGTTCTATTACCAATTCGACTGATCCCATTACACGGTTTTAACATTAGATAGTAGTCTCATACTGTGTAAGAAATCCCGCTCCTCGCGGATCCTTTACCTCTATTCCTATCTCTCACGTAATCAATAGGGCTAGCGGCTCTTGGCTACACACAACTATATAGACTGGAGTTCGCGAATACTATTCACAACTCAGCTTGAATGCTATTATACATTTGATCTCTACATTTTTATCTTCCTACCGCGAATACTTCTAGTAGTTAACAGTACATATCACACCAAGCTGCAAACACCCGAATAATCGCCTGCGAGTACTTATTCTTACATACTGTCTCAGTGAGACTTACTGTCTACTCTTGTCACATTTTTCAAATGAGATCATGATTTCCACTTCTCAATTTAAATTATTTTTATTGCTTTAAATGACTTTAAATCTCATTTGAGCATTATCAAAAAGTGTTACTTTTTAAAAAATTAAAAATAGTCTAAAAAAAATCTTAAAATGTCTAAAAATAGTAACTTTATGTCAAGAATGAGACTAAATGAGATCAAATGAGATCACTTTCTCATTTTTTTCAAGTCATGGTCTCATTTTAAAATCTGATATATAGTCACTTTGCATCTTTTTTTGATAGCCAGTCCCAGTGGGATTCACGCCAAGAAATGTATGAGATCAGACCAAATGAGATCAAATGTGAAATTCATGATCTCAGCGGCCAGTCTATCTATGTGTCTTCATACTTAAGAGAAAGATCAGCATCTTCTCAATCAAGAGAAGAATCAGTGTCTGTCTGTGTCAATCATATTACAGTGAAGAAAGATTTGAAAGATAACTATGAGAATGCTCTGATGAAACAGGGAAAAGATTAGCTTCTGTTCAAATTCACAAACAGAAGCTTGAAGAGATTGAATGATAATACTTTAAAGAGAAAATAATAATGAATATGATTCTTGTATCTACTGTGATTAATAACATGTATAATATGAAGACTATGATAGACAGCAGTCTATATCACTATGCAATGATTAAATCTTCAGTTGTGAGACATTATAATCTTCAGTGTATTCTCTTATTAAAACTCTGACTTCTTACAGAATTTAATGATTCAAAAGATGTTTATATCTGTTATATAATGAAACTAAACATAGATGTCAAAGAACATCAGTGTGAAGATGTCTATGCATATAAAGTTAATAATCTTGATTATAATCTTATGTTAAAACTTGTCTGACTATCTGAACAAGGCATCTTATTGAATGCTTAACACAGAGATAGATACGACAAAACCGCTCCACCACGAACTCGCTCGATTTTTCGAATAAGAACCCGCCGATAGATCCATCAAAAAGCCCTCGATCATACAAGCATTTTGACCCCATCGCCGACCGCATACCCCGTGTGGTGGTGGAGTTATCCAGCCAAACGTGAACCAGATATCGTTCGAAACTCCTGTGTGGGATTATCCCCCATTCTCCCCTACCACACCACAACCCCGGGCCAAATTGCCATACAAATTGTAAGATGAAGAGACCTAGCCATATGCACCAATCTTCTCAATTTTGGAAGATCCCCAATCTGTAGTTGTGGAGATATCTGAGGAGCGACCTCCGCGAAAACCCTGTCCATCTTTGATGTTCCAAAACACCAACGCCAAGTCCCACCCTCGTACCGCCCTTCCTAATCTGGCCCATCTCCGGCAGAAAAATACAAAAAGATACCTCGGCGATAATATCAAGCACATAACCAACAGCCACTTCTGAAGTGCAACCTCCGCGGTCTGTCTTCAGTGTATCTAGACATCAACACCAAGTCTCACCCTCATATCACCTCTCTCAATCTGGCCCATCCCCGACAGAAAAGTATAAAAAGATACCTCAGCAACTGTACTTGATACATAATTAGCAGACATAACAACTATAAAATCAGTATACTTTAAGATCTGACTGAGCCTTTGATCTCTACACAGTGAGATATATTAAATATAGTTTTAATATCTCAATATTCAATAGATTCTGCAAGAGATTGAGAACAGCAATACTAGATTTCTATTGAATTTGAGAATTAACTCTATATTGATATAATCATTGATGAAGTCTTCTATTTTAAGATATAAATAATCAGTTCCTCTACATTCTACTGACAATATTTATATTATTATATAGAAACAGACTTATATTCTCTATAATATCAAGACTCTGAAGAGAGAAAGTCTTGATAGAGAGTATATAGTAGTGCATATTTTAACAGTTTCTATCTCATTCTTCTGCAGTAGTTAATGCAAAAAAAAAGATCTTAGAAATAGTTTTTTACTTCTCTTGAAAAAGTAAGACGTTTTTCTCTGAGGTTTATACAATATTCTTATAAAGAATTAAAAACAGAGCTGTTTTCTATCATAATTTCATATTCTTTTAAGTAAGAATTACTTTTTCAGTGACAGAAGAGCTTTCATTAATACTTAATTCTTTTTTACACTTTTTATTAACTGATTTGAGTTGCACACTTGTTGTGTGAGAAGAATTAAATAATTTAAAATAAAATTGAATAGTTTTAATCAATTTCTCTGTAAAAAATTGATTTATTTTTTATCAGTTTTTCTCTCAAAAACTGTCATATCATCTGATTTATTATCAATTGATATCATACTTTTTCTCACTGTATCTCAAGAAAGAGATTGTAAAGATTTTATTGATTTATCTTAAAAATCAATTTTAGTTTATTAGATTCTCTTCAAAAATCTAACCTAGTTACTGAACTAGTGTGAAAAAAATCAGGTGTTTTATACACAAAAGTCTTTTATTCTTCTTTTGAAACAGCCTAACTAACTT